CTGCAACACATAACGCGCACGCCATTGTGCACAAGTACACAGTAATAATACTAATAGTAATATAGCTCATACTCATAGGGTCTATGTCCCCCAGGGTACTGCCGGAACGTACCCTGGGTACGGTCCGGTATACCGGAACGTACCCTGGTCACTATAATGACTATTTGATATGGTTTCAGACTAGGGTAATCTCAGACCGTGACACCGGCGGCGGTCTCTGAGTATAAGTTCGCTCCCGCCACAGCACAGGGTCTTCCCCAATTTCCCTGTACTAGCGGGAGCGAAAGGGCTACACCAGTAGAGCTAGTTGCAGTGAAACTTCGACAGGAAGGGTTGTCCGTTTGTCATCCGAAAATCCCTAACCGTGCTCTACTCCATCTTTTGACCAATCACTGTAGTCGTGTGTATGGTGCAATAGCAACATCGCACCGCCCAGTTTGAGTTGCGGGGCTCGAGCTGGAGCTCGGAGGCCGGCAGTAGCTCATCCCGGCATGCAATGCGCCGCCATTACTCGTGTATAAACAGACACTCGCTCCCATTTACAAAACCGCGGAGTGGGAATTTTGGGAATAATTTCACGAGATATCTCTAGGTGGAGTAGGTAAGAACATAGGTAAGAACAAAAGACAGTTATAATTCGAACAAGTGAACACTGGTCTTGAAATAGCAACAAAGATGGAGTAGATTGGTTGAGTATTTGTTCTGTAATCGTGTGAAATCAAGCGCGCGTCGAGCGAATTTCGGCATCACGCTTTCCTACCTACTATATTATATGTGATGTTTGTGCACAGCGGCGTGCGTGTAGTGTAGTCGTGTGTTGCAGAGGAGCATTTGAACGGCATTTACAGGAAATTATCGATAATAATCGGCGAAAGAGAGTAGAGAAACATTAAGACTGGTAGTGGTAGTAAATACATTTCCTGTTTATTTACCATTATTTTTTTCATTGAGACGTTCCAAGTGCCTGTGGGTAGTATTGTTACAGTAGTGCGTGTGAGAGGTGTATTGACGTTAACGTGTGCTTATGTTTCAACGAGTTCCTGAGTGTTATTGATACGTCGTTGATATAAACAAGTAACATGGTAGCCCAAGCCAAGGGCCCAACGGCAATGCACATGCAGGGTTTCTTCTGAGGGAAAATTAGACAAAGGAGGTAATGGCCAGTTTGGGAAAAAACACGCATGATGGATTCAAAGGAAATAACTGAAAAGTGTAGACCCCGCGTCACATGACTCAATAAACGCACTAGCAATCTAAACATGCCAGAAGCACGTGATGATCTATTTATTTTTGGGTTGACACTGTTTTGACAATGGCGGGTAAATACAGGAACATTTTCACAACGGCGGTGTTAAATTTGACAACGGCGGTGCGCCACTGTACCTCTTATGTATAAGAAACCCTGACATGCACTTAATTGGTCCTTTTCAATAATAAAATGATTGTGTAAATAAACACAAATTGTATTTTATTACCAAAGTGTCATTGTTAATATGTATTCTCTATCGACTAGTAATTTCACGTAAATGCTGTTCAAGTACTCTTTTTCAATGCACAATTTCCATGCTCGCATGCCACTGCACAAACTCACAGCAAGATAAAGCAGGTGAGAAAGTGTGAGCGCCAAATTCATATAACGATTGCTTTATTTCACACCATCACAGCAAAAATCTATTGACAACCACGTTCATTGTGGTATTAAGGCGGTGGCTCTTCCCTTCTACAGTTCTATCTATTTATCGGCCAAAATATCCATGAACACTTCGCTGTAAGGCTTTTTGAGAGTAGTTCTATAAATGAGTCACTTTGACGTACATGACAGTTTATCAGGAGCACATGAATAGAGAATGTTCATATACTCCTGATTCTATATCACCACTGATACCAATGCTACGCTCTGGTATGGTAAACAGTTGGTAATGATAAATTATGTACTTTATTACAGTATTAAATTATTTTGTACAATGTACTATTTTTTTCTATACAGTGGAGGAGGCCAAGAAGTGGGAAGATCATGCATAGTACTGGAGTTCAAAGGGAAGAAAATTATGGTTAGTTCACATATTTTTTTAGGTTCTTTCACCAGATGGCTTTCAGTATACATAGTATAGATGTTGTTGCCTTGGGAGTATATCATTGAATTAACTTATGGAATAGATAGTAAGATAGATCAATGTGTCAGTGCCTAAAGGCATAGTTATAACTCTGTAAACCTAACTAGATTGTGGTGTATTGGAAACCAATTTATATGATTTGATGATGTTTCTGCTGACAAATGAATGTGAAAAACTAAACTGAAATCTTGATAACTATGAGACACCAGTCATTGAAAAATATCCCCCCTCCCCAAACCATCTGTTACATGTATAAGAACAACACATGCATTTTTAATCAACAATAATTGATTGTCTGGATTTTATTATACATGTTTGGGAACGTATTGTAGATATTGTAGAACTACACATGTATACGTGTTTGCTCAGTTCATATAATTCTTTGTTGTAGCTGGACTGTGGCATACATCCAGGCTTATCGGGTGTTGATGCATTACCATATACTGATCTTGTTGAGGCGGAGGAGATAGATCTTTTGCTGATTAGTCAGTGAGTATTTTGGTATTGATTTATGGCAATTCAACTGAGTCAAATCAACACATCTGTCTTGTTTGCTATTCATTGGTGCTACTATCAGAAATGAATTTCCTATTTAATCTTTAGTGAATATTTGAAAGTGAGTTTTCTGGTGTCTAATGGTTGAAACATCCCTTTCCTATTATTCCATCATTTATCCACATTTCCTTTTAATTTAGTATTACTTGCATGCAAATCAGAATTGCATTTTAAAATTATCACTGTAGTTAAGGTCTTCCTTGAGATTTGTATGCACAGTAGGAAATGTCGTATCGCTAATGCAATTGGAATTTTCCAGTTTCCATTTAGACCATTGTGGAGCATTGCCCTGGTATCTTATGAAGACAACGTTTCGGGGACGCTGCTTCATGACACATGCTACTAAAGCCATTTATAGATGGCTTCTCTCCGATTACATAAAAGTCAGCAACATCGCTACAGAAGCAATGCTTTATACAGAGGATGACTTGGAGAAGAGTATGGATAAAATCGAAACCCTAAACTTTCATCAAGTGAGTTGATACAGAAAATTACTGGTATAATGGGGGTTGACTATCTGGCGCAATTTTACTATTGTGATAGTATTGCGACAGTTTAAATATTTATTGCGAATACTATTGCAGTGTTTTAAAAACTATTGCAATACTATTGTGATATTATTAATGTATTATAAAATCATGTATTATGTTGTTATATGAAAGTTTGTATTTGCGTGTTGGTTTATATTATTTACTAGAATTGTACCCTGTCGTTCTACTCACATGCTTGTGGATAGTGGGTGAGCCAGTTGAGTGAAGCATGCATAGATGACCGGGGGCCAGTCTAATTATTGATGCTTTACTTTGCCATCAATGCATTGCTATCGAGCCAAACACTATTAAAAATAATTGATACTTTAATTTATAATTAAACCACTATTTGAAGGTAGATGTGGGTGCACTAATAATAAGTGTGTTTCATTTACATGTTTATGTTTACTCACTTGCAATATCTTATTCAACCAAGCAAGTTTTTGCTCTCTTTCTAGGAAAAAGAAGTGAGTGGAATAAAATTCTGGTGTTACAATGCAGGTCATGTGTTGGGAGCTGCCATGTTTATGATTGAGATAGCTGGTGTTAAGGTAATGTACAAATAATAGTTTCATCATGCTAACTTTTTAACTCTGTAACATTGTGTAAATCTTTTAATCACTAGACGGATTGCTAGATTTTTACTACTGACATTTGCCATTTATCATTCTAGGTTTCGCTACTGGCAATATGTTATAGCTGTTGTTCTTTATGTACTACAAGAGCATGCTGGACAGATTTTATCAGCTGCACTATATGAACTGAAACGCGATTAAATATTGTTAAAAGTTATTTAAGATACAGCGCGTGCTATATGACAATGTTTTGTTTTATGCAAAGTCCAGATTGCAGTTGCAATGGCTGTTTATCCAAAGATTTATTTTATTTAACATTTAAAAAATGGTTTTCCTCTGTGTGTACAAGCATCCCACTTCACTATTATTACAGATTCTCTACACAGGAGACTTTTCTCGGGTTGAAGACAGACATTTAATGGCAGCTGAGATTCCAAATATACAGCCAGACGTTCTTATTATTGTAAGTATGATGAGCCAAATGTCAACATTTGCCGAACATTCACAATCATTCAAGTTGTTTGGTCGAGCGTACTTCGTAAAATCTTTGTACTCAGAAGTCAGGTGACATTGTCTCATTGATATGGATAGTGCTAATGTCTGCTGTGCTCAAACTTTTGTTCTTTTAATCAGGAGACCTGACATTTAAAACGTTTTCTAAACATGCCAAAGCTCCCTTAAAATGATTTACAAAGAAATCATGTATAATATTCAGATAAAACATTTTCGACTTGGTTGCTGCATGCTACTGTGTCCGTATAGTATTAGTGCTGTTCTCTGACATGCTCCCACTGTTGCCAGTCCTGCAGCATGCTTATTGTTTGGCGTGTTTTCGTTGCAGGAGTCGACGTATGGCACTCACATACATGAGCCACGTGAGGAGAGAGAGGCTCGGTTCACGGGCCTCGTTCACGATATCGTCAGCCGCGGTGGACGCTGCCTCATTCCCGTCTTTGCACTCGGCCGGGCACAGGAGCTGCTACTCATTCTAGGTAAGCATGCGATAAGGCACAGTGTAGCAGACCTGTCAGTTATACTAGTCGATGAGGGGGCATGATGATGCATAGAATTTGATGATAAATGCAATGCACTTTTTGCTTGTCCAATGATGAAATTGATGTAAAGCAAAAAAGAGTTGTTCTGTATATTTTTTAATGTTACTGGTTATAGTGCTGTCTCATTATGCACAAGATAAATTCTCAATATATTATGGATGACATCATAATATGAGTAAATGAACATATTTTTCGTTTGGCTGATCATTTTCCTATCATGCCACCTTTATGCGATGATGTATCCTCACAACTCGGCCATCTCCATCTTTTCTGTCACTTGCTTCTTCACTGTGTGCATGGGTGTCTGGTATTTTGATTGCAGATGAGTATTGGACAAATCACCCAGAGCTGCATGATGTACCTATCTACTATGCCTCGTCACTTGCCAAGAAGTGCATGAGTGTTTACCAGACCTACATCCATGCAATGAACGAGAAAATACGGCGTCAGATTGCTATCAACAATCCTTTCATGTTCAAGCACATATCAAATCTGCGGGTAGGTGGAATATCAAGCAATTAAAAACAGCATGTTCATTTTCAGTTTTTGAAACTTAGTTTCATCTAGGTTATGTATCGTGTGAGATTAATTCACCAAATTTTAATTTTGGTTGAACATGTATTTATTGTTCTGGGTAGGTTTTTGACAAATAATACAGATATTCTTTATTTCTTACATTTTTACGTGTCAATACATTTAGTATTGTTCAATTTGATTAACATGTTTATTATATTTTCATATAAAATACATGTTACCTAATACACAGTGGATACACACTCATATTAGGGCATGGATCACTTTGAGGATATCGGCCCATCCGTTGTGATGGCTTCACCAGGAATGATGCAGTCAGGGCTGTCAAGGGAACTGTTTGAAATGTGGTGCACAGACAAGAGAAATGGCTGCATCATTGCTGGCTACTGCGTAGAAGGCACCCTGGCAAAGGTTCGTGTACCAAAAAAATTCTTCTTAACATTTCGCTACAGTAGTACACTATGAAAATGACATATCATATGTAATGAAATTGAACAAACGTACAATTTAGCATTTGCATGCAAAGGTCATTATCACATGTGTTGTTTGTCGTGCTTAGGTCATGTACGAATAATTTAACAAAGGAGTATTCTTAATTTTAATAATTGTAGTGAATCAGTCTGGGAAAGGGTGTGTATTGTGTGTCTTGCAAAAACCATTTAGTAACGAGGAAATAACTTTGATAGGACTCACTGTTACTTTGTGATAGCAGTTAAGCCATCGCACCACAATTGCACAATCTGTAAAACTTGTGTGGTCACTGACCGTCGTGCCTATTTTAGTACATCCTATCTGAACCAGAGGAGATACCGACCATGACTGGGAACAAGTTGCCATTAAAGTGCTCTGTCGATTACATCTCCTTCTCAGCACACACTGATTACCAGCAGACCAGCGAATTTATCCGAGCAATGAAGGCTCCACATCTGGTAAGTGTCGCCTCCTGCCAGTAAGCCACTGGCACACGTTCAAGCCAGAGAGGCACGTGTTTGAATATGCCAGCTATGTTGTGTTTGTAGTTGATGAAGTTGACATGTATTGCATCTTGAGTTGTTGCTGTGAGGATAGCACTTGGAGGTAGCTAATATGCATTGAACATATAGTAACAGAGGTGCCCACAACCAAGACTATTTTAGAGCTGTATAATTCAGATAAATTAGCTGATGTAAAAGGCAAGAATGAGCAGTCGCTATGACCAAGCCTGGGACTCTTCGATGACTTGTCGGTGGCTGTTCTGAACAGGTGCTGGTGCACGGTGAGATGAATGAGATGGGACGGTTAAAGGCCGCAATTATACGCGAGTACGAGGATGACACAGAAATCAACGTGGAGGTGCACAACCCACGTAACACACAGGCTGTAGAGCTCTACTTCCGGGGAGAAAAGATGGCAAAGGTCAGTATGCACAGGCACTTTTACTGATATGTGATGAAAACTTGTATAGACTTTATCGTGTGGTGGACAAAAATTTGTAGGTGAATTTGTAGGTCGGAAAAGAAAAAAATTGTGTAATCAACATTTTTTTTGTAGTGGGAATTTTTTTAAACAGCAAACATGATACCAGCTGGCAATGTAGCATTGAAGTTGTTATGCTTATCATCATAGGTTCATCAAAACATAGAACATGAAATCATAGCACTAATAATAATATAATCATAATAATACTACATGCAATGTATGGTTAATAATGAAAGGGTACCACATAAAACGTGATATATTACTATATCTCATCTCTAGTTCTTCTTGTGGCAATAAATATAGCTATAATAATTTATGTTTATATATAAAATACAGTTGAGACTAATTGGTACTTTGTGTTTGCTCAAGGTGATGGGAAAACTAGCTCTAGAGAAGCCCAAACATGGACAAAGAGTGTCTGGTGTTTTGGTGAAAAAGAACTTTAGCTACCATTTACTCGATCCTGCTGACCTTGCAAGTACGGTGTTATACCTCTCTCTCTCTCTCTCTCTCTCTCTCTCTCTCTCTCTCTCTCTCTCTCTCTCTCTCTCTCTCTCCCCATACCTTTCTCATTTCCTCTCTCTCGTCCGCGCGCGCGCTCTCTCTTTCCCACTATCTCCTTCGTTCTCTCTCTCTCTCTCTCTCTCTCTCTCTCTCTCTCTCTCTCTCTCTCTCTCTC